CGCCCAGCTCGGGGCGCCCACGAAAGAAGTGTTGGACATCATGAACATGGTCAAGCCCAGACATCCGCGATCCCTGACGGCCGAGCATGCCACCCAAGGATCCAAGAGGAAGGCAACAGAGAGTGAAGGTGACGGTCTTGGTCAAGTGCCAGACCCGAGCCGAAGCTCTCAGCCCAACGTTGAGAAAGAAGAGAAGAAGCAGCGAGTGATTGATGGGCGGAGAGCTGCGCTCGAGTTCCTGGTCTCAATGGAAAAGTGCATGGGAGAGATGGGAATTTGCATGAGATGCGCGAACCTGGCCCACGACGGCGACTGCAAGAACTATGAGGAGGCTGCTGGGAATGAGAAGGCGATGAAGAAGATCCGTGAGCTTCTCAGCAGCGATCATGTTTCCTCGGATGAAGAAATGGGGGATACGGAAGAACCGTTCTCATCCACGTCCAAGGAACGCAAGAAAGGAGGACAAGAAGGGAAAGAGACAATAGAAATGTATAGCTATACCATCAATCTGGTGGAGATGGCTGACACGGCTGAGGGAGGAGAGCTACAGTGCGGTGGCGTGGACCTCACCTACAATCCGTGCGGGGACAGCAGAACGTTCAAGACGACGCTAGAGCGAGGGTGTGACACCATCCCATGTTACATCCCGAAGTTCGGCGACGTGAGCGATGTGCATATGCCATGGGCGTACGCATCTATTGTTGACCCCAAGTACTTTCCCAAGGGTGCCGGCCTCGAACAGGTGGATGTGATGCAGCTTGGCAAGAGCGTCAATTTCTGCGTTGCTCCCTTTGACGGTGCTCCGCTATGCAAGATTGGCGACGATCGCTCGGTATTTGCTACGAAAGATCAAGCGAACCAGCTATCTCACAACCTATGCAGAGTCCTTCGACACAAAATCGGCAATTGCCGAGGAAGTGTTTTCAGATGCGATGAAGGTGGATGGGTCGACATCGACGCAGTCATTGGCGACCGAAATAACGACATATTCCCACCTTCAACTTCGAGAGCAAAAGGATACATGGGCATCATGGAAGTGATCAAGTGGCAGGAGTCCGGACACAAGAAATCGAGGTTTCAGGTCCTGGCAGCAAGGTTTCCAAGCGTCATGAACCCGAATGACATGAAGGCGGCCAGGGAGGAGATGAACTATGCTGGCCTGGATCGGGATGACATCGACAGGATGTTCAACAGATGCGATGGATGGTACAGGCCTTGGTGCATCCGAGTCACAACTGGTCACAGTGATTTTGGATTCATGAGCTCATCCGCACTGGCAAATAGGTATTCTGCAAGAATGGGTGATTCTCTCGGAGGAGCATTCCATGTGACGTATGTGGAGAACCTGCCGAGCATCGTACGCTGTGGGCTAGTCCCCGGCGGGATCGATGGCGGAAACAGGCTAGCATTGCACTTCGGAGCATTTGCTCCATGGGATGAGACGTAGCAACGAAGGTGACGCTACGAAACGTAAGGTCGGGGGATCCGATTGCGATCATCTACATTCCCAGTGCAACCCTCGCGCGGTATGGAGCTGGAGTCGCGGCAAATGGGACATTCATGGTCTTTGACGTGATCCCGTTCTATGAGGTCAAGTCCATTTGGATTGGCAAAAGCAACGGAGGGAAACGCCTGGAGTACGAGGACGTCAAGCGAGCGTACTCAAAATGTGTGGAAAACAAGATCTGTCCTGGTTTCGTCGATTCCTCCCAGGAATCGGCTGCGATGTTCCTACAGAACGTCGCGAAGATCAACGAGAGGATGCCTGAGACCGAGGCAGGTGCCGACAATCTGCACTACATCAAAGACATGGTTGATCGTGCATGCAAACTGTCTCGGGAAAACAAGCTGGAGGAGTTTGATGCGCAGACCAACGAGATCAGGGACGAGATCAGCAAAGTCGTCATCCTGAATGACGAGACATGGGAAGGACTAAGATGCCGGATATGTCCGTCATGTGCGACCGCGATTCCCACATGCTTCTGTGTTTGCCTGGAATGTGGGGTGCAATTGATCTCTACCGGGAGATTCTGCATCCACATCAGTTCCGACGACGACGGGGACAACCAAAGGCCCAATGTTTCGGGTGATGCCAGGCGCGCACAAGACGAAGCCAACCATGGTGCGGCAGCACAGGAAGAGGATGATGAGGCGGAGAACGTTCCTGAAGACGACGACATGGACACGCAAGGACACACGTCCGGCTACATGTCTGAGGAAGAAGATGGCGGTTGGCAATACCGCGACAATGACTTGGCATCGCGGGATATCATAAATTCCCAGCGGATGGCGATTTGCCTTGATGAGCCGCGCGAAGCTCAATACATGGCGGGATTCATCGCGCTGCAGATGTCAAAGATGTGGGGGATGTTCGAAGGTGGTGAAAAGAGAACGGTCGATGCCGCGCTCGAAGGGAAACCACAACGACTTCGAGAAGTACCCCAACATGACTGAGCACGACCAGGAAGGGATCCTGTTGCCGTCAACAATAATGAAGATTAGCCAATCTCAGAATGTTCGGACAAGGACCTTCCGGTCGGCTGAGGAGCGTAATGAATACATTCGTCTGATGGTATGCAAGTGCGAGGGGCTATACATATTTTACAAGCTGTGGATTGCAGCGAGAATCCTCGAAATCACCAAAGACGAAATGAAGCTCCTGGTCAAGGATCGTGTGCACCCGGTGGGTGATATCATTTACAGATGCTTCTCCCTGGCTTTCAACTGTAAATATATATCGTTCGTAAGGGAAGGCTTGAACCTTGCCAGACATGGTTATTCGGTCAATGTGAGCGCCATTATTGCAGCCACTGACCCGAACAAATGCGACACACCCCTGCTGGATTGGTGCCTCCGAATGGGGCATTGGATGCCAGAAGATCATCACAAGAAGTGTGTCCGGGCGCGAGAAGCCCAAAAGAATTTGGACGAAGAGTTCCGTCGACGTACCCACAGACTGTCCATTGGGGACAGGTATGCGTAATGCAGATGTGGATTATTATTGCTTATGTGGTGTGGTGCGCCCACCAACAGCAATACATATATTCACTCCGATGTTGATTGCGGCACGATGTGGGCTAGTCCCCATCTATTGCTTGCGTCTCATCAATGTCATTGCGATGGAACGACTCTACATCATGATATGATTTCATGCGTCCAAGATGAATGGATGTGTATACATTTACATATTCCGACGACTATGACATTCCGGATATTCATGGATGGAACTATTACCTCATGGATGATTTCTTTTTCATTATATATATATATATATATTCATGGTACCTGGAATGGCTATGTTTTGCATGTATTGCTCGCCAAATCTTCTTTGCCGATGATATTCAGATGGCTCATGACCGTGCGCTACTATGGATTTCTATGGCCAACCCATTTCTGTGGATGACGGCTGCGCGATGCGCAAATGCGGCAGCCGGGATTTCAAGTGGTTGCGTATTGGCTAGAGGCAAAATGTCTCTTGCATCTGAGTATAGGAATGTGCTACGATTTGTGGATGCATGTTTCTGCCTTGATTGGACCTGGCAAGTTTCACAATGAATGGACGGTGTAGCAATAGTGAATGAAAGAGTGTTCGACACAGTTTCGTAGCTGAAGCCGTGGCCATTGGAACGTTTTGTGGTGTTTGGACCGCATGATGAACAATGCGACCCAAATGGGGGATGTTAAAACCCTCCTGGCCCCGTGCCTAAATTGGGAAGCAGTTCTGAGGTCCGTGTTTGTGTTGCTTACAAGGTTCCATTGATTGCCATTTGGCTCAAGTCACAAGTGAGGTTCAAGATCTTATGTGAAGCTGCGTTCATACGTGATCGGCAATTGAGAGCGGAAAACACTTCGCTTGCGCTGCATTTGTCAGGACCACTGTTGTAACTATTATTCCTTCTCCCTTACAACAGTTACACGGGTTCGGCTATAACGGTTTGACCGTATACACCTTTCTACGTGGTTGGTATTTACAGCTGGAGGGTTCGGTGGACAGCGTCCCACGGGACGTCACCTTGCCGTCTCTTGACATGCAAAGTCCTTTTGGCCCGCTGTTTCTCTCTCTGTGTGTGCTTCATGTTGAACCTTGTAACGTTTTCGACACTAGAGGGAAGCCGAGTGCATCGCGAGCCGAAACTCATCGTACTCGAGACTTATCAGTTGTACTCGAGACTCATCAGTTGTACTCGAGACTCATCAGTTGTACTCGAAGGATTAGTGCCCTCCCTTGGGAGTTGAAGTGTGTTTGCTTCGCGTGCCCTTGCTGTGGTTGCGTATAGGTGGAAGCTTGTGGCACACATGTTGCTCAATGTTTTGCCGTCAATTGTTTTGCGTGAATTTTTCTGCATGCAGAGGCGTCGATGCGTCCGTGTGGCTTGTGGATCGTGATTTGCATGTTTCGCGTTGTCCAGTTCTTTGAACCGTGCTTGTCAAATTCACGTTCGTAACGGCTCGTCTGGGATGGTTGTGTGAGAACACGTTGAATTTGTTTCGTGTTGGTCCGTGAGTGCTGATTTGTATGTGGAGGCAATGCAACAGATGGAACATTGTTTTGCGGATGCAATCGAACCTTACAGTCAGTGTCTGTGCAGTGATGCATGAATTCGGTTTTAATTGCAGATTCCCACCTCATTGTCGGGGGGGGCCAGGAGAGGGGGGGCCGGACGGGCCAATAGAACTTATCAGCTCGCCCCAATGCTGCGTTGAATCGAACTGGTATTTACATTCAACCCGTGCGCAAGTGGCACTGCATGTGGGAACAATGACGTGAACGCAATGCCATGACACCGTGCCTTCGGCGACACTTGGAATTTAGAACAATCCTTTCTTGTTGGCAGCCCGTGTGTAAATTTCATGTTTTCTTGTTGCCAACATGGCTGCTGGACGAACACCTCTTGGCAGCAATAAGTTGAGCCTTGTTTTCACAGCAAATGATGGTGTTTCTTTCACCGCAATATGTTTCAAACTTTACAGCTATTGGACCTGAAAGAAACAAAAAACGGTTTACACATTCTTGACACGCAATGGTAGGGCTGCCGGATGGCAATGCAGCGCGGCTTTTTCCGAAGGCAAGGCCACGTGTTTTTTGTTGCACAAACGACATGTAATTGAGCGTTGCTCAGGCCGGTGGTGGCTCAAATGGAGGCTGGCAATTTGGGGTTGTTGACTGAAGATTGCAAATCTGATGTTTTTGCACGCAAGGGGGTGCTTTTGCCTGGGCGGATTTGTTTGCTTCTTTGTTTGCTTGTTTGTACATCTAACTTCCACCACCGTGACATTGCCAAGGAGACGAACCTGAACATGTGGTTCGCATGCGGAAGGCACTGGAGAGTGCAAAGGCTGGCCAGTTTGTTGTTGATGTGTTACAGACTTGTGTTGATGGCCAAGTGTGTTCCGGCGAGTACTTTTTGCTTTGCGTGAGTGTTGCGCTGCGCTGGTTAGTGCGTGATTTCTGCCGTGTTCCATGAGCATTCTGGTCTATCGACCAATTGGACTTTCCGCCCCGCAGTCAGCCTCGTGTTGGCTTTTAATCTGTCCGTTCGGATCATTTGCAAGGGCTAGTGTATTGTTGCAGAACTTGAAGTTGGTTTGCTTTCTTTTTTCTCCAATTGTTCCTTGTACCCTTGTTTGTTAGAACTTTATTCTTTTTCAAGCTGAAGTACACACACACACATGCAGACGGTTTTTTTGGGATGAACGCACCAGGCGGAGCTGCGAGGGCTCCGGCAGCGGCGCTTGGAGCTGGAGGCGGGGCCGATGGAGCTTGGAGTTGGACGCGGAAGCCGCGGTGGGTTTGGAGTGAGGTGGCGGTGGGTTTGGAGTGAGGTGGCGGTTTCCTTGCTTTGGCGTTTTTTTTCTTCTTCTTTTTGGGCAGCTGGGGATGGTTTTTGGAGCTGAAACCAAGGACCAAGGATGGCCTGGCAATCCGACATGCACTTTGTGGCACCCTCCCGGCCATGGAACCCAGCAGAGGGTCCATTTTAGAGCTAAGTGCCCAGTCCCATGTTCTTGGACGGGAGCCTTCTGGTCAGGTGAAGCCAGCAGAGCAGCGCGATTCTCCCAAGCTACCGATGGTTGGGCCGGATGATGTGGCGATGAAGGCCGGATTCATGACATGCACAGTGTTCATGATTCGTGATTCCGGCGTTTTGTTTTGTTACGTCTGTCTCTGATCTCTCGCAGGCGTTGGCTGCCCATGGTGAGCCGCCCCCCGCCATGTTGCACCGGCGACCTGGTTGCACAGAGAAGAAAATTGGACTCAGACGGGCTGCATGATGGGAGCTGTGCTTTTGAAGACGGGGCTTTGCAAGATGCCGTCCACATTACTCTTGGGGCTACACATTGTAGTTTGTTCATTTTGGGCAAGGCTGCAATGAAACTTTGGATTGGATCAGTTGATTACTTGGACGTAGGCTTGGCATCGCTGTGATGCTTATCCTGGAGGCAGGCCACGTGCTTGGATTTCTTCTTCTAAATATATTTTCTCTCGGTTTTGCCCGTGACAGTTTGTAGAAACTGTGAAGCCAGCGAACATTTTCTTTTTTTTCCAGATAGCTGAAAGCTATAGGGGTTCTAACTTCTAAAAAAGAAGAAGAAATGATTTGCGAGATTGAGGGCCGGGTGCTAGGCGTGCAAGTTTGGGATGCTGGTGGAGGTGCTGTTTTGCCAGCTTGACGGCCGGGTGCTAGGGGGCATGCAGTTTGGAGTGCTGGTGGAGGTGCTGTTTTGCGACAGTGCTGGCCGGGTGCTAGGGAGCATGCAGGTGGAGGTGCTGTTTTGCGAGCTTGACGGCCGGGTGCTAGGGGGCGTGCAACTTGGGGTGCTGGTGGAGGTGCCGCTTTGCAAGATTGACGGCCGAGTGCTAGGGGGCATGTAGTTTGGGGCGCTGGTGGAGGTGCTGTTTTGCGACAGTGCTGGCCGGGTGCTAGGAAGCATGCAGGCGGAGGCGCTGTTTTGCGAGCTTGACGGCCGGGTGCTAGGGGGCGTGCAACTTGGGGTGCTAGTGGAGGTGCCGCTTTGCAAGATTGACGGCCGAGTGCTAGGGGGCATGTAGTTTGGGGTGCTGGTGGAGGTGCTGTTTTGCGACAGTGCTGGCCGGGTGCTAGGGGGCATGCAGGTGGAGGTGCTGTTTTGCGAGCTTGACGGCACCCGAACTTGGGGTGCTGGTGGAGGTGCCGCTTTGCAAGATTGACGGCCGAGTGCTAGGGGGCACGTAGGTTGGGGCGCTGGTGGAGGTGCTGTTTTGCGACAGTGCTGGCCGGGTGCTAGGGGGCATGCAGGTGGAGGTGCTGTTTTGCGAGCTTGACGGCCGGGTGCTAGGGGGCGTGCAACTTGGGGTGCTGGTGGAGGTGCCGCTTTGCAAGATTGACGGCCGAGTGCTAGGGGGCATGTAGTTTGGGGTGTTGGTGGAGGTGCTGTTTTGCGACAGTGCTGGCCGGGTGCTAGGGGGCATGCAGTTGAGGGTGCTGGTGGAGGTGCTGTTTTGCGAGCTTCTGCTAGGGGGCATGCAGTTCGGGGTGTTGGTGGAGGTGCTGTTCTGCGAGATTGACGGCTGGGTGCTAGGGGGCATGTAGTTTGGGCTGGCGGAGGTGTTTTGCGAGAGGCCGGGTGCTACGGGGCATGCGGTTTTGCGAGATTGACTGCCGGGTGCTGCAAGGAATGCTGCTGCTGGAGCCGGGCTCTAGGGGGCATGCAAGTTTGCGGTGCTGGTGGAGGTGCTGTTTTGGGGTACTGCTTGGGGTGCGGGGCTGGTGACGTTGTCGGCGCAATTTTTCGGGATTGCTGGCGGGTGCTGGGGGGGCATGCAGATTGGGGCGGTGGTGCAAGTGCTGATTTGGGTTGCTGTTTGAGGTGCTGCTGGCTGCGCGGGCGCTTATTTCCCAGACAACTGAAAACCAGCATAGTTGGGGCTGCTTTTTTGAGGTGTTGGTGACGGGGTATCGTGGTTGTGGCATCATCATGATGCTGCCCGCAGCATCAGGATGCGGTTGAACCGATTCGGATGTTGTTGCTGCTCTATACTGGTTCGGTCAGGTGTGTCATCATGATGTTGTCAACCACGTCGTGATGCCGCTGGAATCGCTGCGATGCTGCGTTGTGGTTCGTGGGTGTGGTGGCAGCATGATGCTGTCAACATCCGGATGATGCCGAATTTCATTACGCAGTCGCAAGGTGATTCGTGGCTGCGGCATCATCATGATGCTGTGTTTACCATCACCCTGATGCTGTTCGCATCACCATGATGCTGGCTGCATCATGATGCTGTCCGCATCATCATGATGCTGCCGAACTCATCAGGATGTTGTCGCTGTTTTTTCTGCTAGACATGTTGCGCGGAATCGTTTGTGGCTGGTGTATCAGCAGCTGCTGAACTTATTAGGACGTTGTATGCGCGTCCATTTAGCGCACCATGCTGAGTGGCTGTGTGATCATGGTATCATCACGATGCTGTCAACATCATCATGATGCTGTCAACATTATCATGATGCCGAGGGAATCATCATGATGCTGCGTCATGGTTCGTAGCCGTGGCGTGCTATCTGGGGTCTATGCTGGTGTATGTTTTTGCCAACTTGCAGCCACCAATTTGCAAGACAACTTTCAACACCAGCATCCACCAACAATACCCACCTGGACATCCCAGGCGCCGCTCCTGAATGACAGCACAAGCTGCACAGCAGTCGCACCTGCGCTATCACCCGATTCACCCCGGTAGGGTAGTAAAAGACTTCTAGAAAAGTCACACAAACTTCTTCGGGAAACTACCCAAAAACGCATCCAAACCGTTTTCCACAGGTGTAGTTGTCAGCTTCTTCGTAGCGTGATGTCATGCACATCTTTACTGCACTGGTAGGGGACATGTAATAAGTTTGCCATTTTTCCCTTCTGTGGGACAGTAGCGCAAAGACTGGGTACAGTGAAACAGCGAAACATCCGCAATGAACGCAGCCAAATGTTCGTCCGCTCAAATGCATATTTCCACACCTCCCCAGTGTGCGGATGGGTTCCCTGTGTTACATCGAGATGCAGCTGCGTTCAGGCGCCGCTCCTCGTGGACTTGGGGGAGCATCCCCTGCCCGCGAGGGTGCCTTGGAGGAACTTGCAAATCCTTTTGCGGAAGCCGCAGGCCGGGGCAGGTATCAACTGCAGGCCTTGCGCAGGTGTTGTAAAGCAGTGCTTTCTGTAGCTTGTTGCTGGTGAGGGGGCTGGGGCTGCAACTGTGGCGGACTACTTCTCTCGAATACACGAAGAACAGTACTTGGTCTGTATTTTTTGGCTTGGCAGGCCACTGTGATTACTGGAGGAGATGCCTCGTTGGCACCCATGAAGGATATAGTGGCTGCGTTGACATCAAGACCATTCGGAGAACGCCTGGTACGACACATTCACCACAAAGTTCTTGAAGGTGATCCACCCCTGACACGGTCAGAAGTGTTGGACGCAGATGCAAACTGTACCCCGTTGCATGACTGGGTCATCAATTTGCTTTTACCCTTTCAAGCAAGCCAGAGGGCGATGATGTTGCCTGCACCCGAGACTGCAGAGGTTCGCGCTGAACGCGACAATGCAACAGCTGCGGTCGCCTCAAAGGAGAAGGAAGTTGCTGGGCTGCGTCGTAAGCTACGTGCTGCGCAGGAATCGGAGCAAGCCGCTGTGGAATTTGCTGCCCAGCATTCGCCAGGGCCGGCATCGGATGGCCCAGAGTCGACGTCGACTCCTGCCGCAAATGGGTCCAGCACGTTGGACTCAGGTTCAGTGGGTCCAGTGCCAAATGGCACTCTGGAAGTGATGGGGCAGAAGTCTTTGCAGTACCGGCTGGAGGAGGTGGTGGTCCCAGAGCTTCAGGAGGCGGTGCTGCAGTCGGTGGTGAAGACGCTGCTGGAGCGTACGGAGTCGGAGTCGTCGTCGGCTCGCGTGGAGGTGGTGGGCCGCAGCGAGGACCGCGAGGACGAGGCCACGGCGCAGCAGCGGGCAGAGGCGGTGGAAGCCTGGCTGCTGGCACGGGGCGTCCCGCGCGAGCGGCTCAGCGTGTCCTGGGCGGCCGGAGGCAAAGCGACAGCGCGGAGCACGGAGCTGCGGCTGTTGGACGTGCCCGGCAAAGAGGCAAAGGTTCGCCAGAAGGCAGAGACTTTGCTGAGGCGGATACAGGGATATCCGGAACCCGCGGCAACTCCAGCATCGCCGCCCGAACCGGCGGTGGCAGCTCCAACATGGCAACTGGAGGAATTGGCGCAGCAGCGCTTGCGGCTGGTCTTTAGAAAGGCTTGGTTGCGTGAAAGACTTGATGAATTTGCCATGCTTCCCCCTTGTGCGACTTCAATGCTTTGCCTCGTTGTAGGAGGGCCTGGTGCCAGAGGATGCTGTCCTGGAAGTGGGAGCGAAGGCGGTTCGCCTCGCAAGCCTTGCGGGAAACTGGCCAGAAGTGGAGGCATGCCCGCCGCACGAGTCAGTTTGACGCTGGTGTCATATATTGCGCCACATCACATGACTCTGGTGTTGAAGGTTCTGCTGCACAGCAAAGGTGGGTATTGTGCTTGCTGTGTGCAGGTCGAACTTCCTCGTGAAGTAATGCCGCCCGAAGAACCCTCTGCGCCTTGGAAGGCAAAAAAGAGACGGAGATGGATTTTTGAAACAAAGCTGTTTGCATACTTCACACGCCTTGTCCAATTGGTCATCCGTTTGACACTTGGGTATTCCTGGCCCCCAATGACCATGGATCAATCTTTTTAGCGTTTCTCCCAATGGTCATCCCATGTAAAGGACCTTGTGATCAACCCCCACTTGACATTCTACCCTTCCGCGCGATGACTTGCCTAGGCCAAGTTTTCGAGGAAGAATGGTGCGGTCCTAAGCCGTCACCAACAAAACCCTGCGCTCTGTGGATTCAAGATGCCTTGCAGGTACGTTGACGGTGACGCTCAATGCAGTGTGAGCAACAAAAAGACGAGAAGGGGCAAAGTGACAATTCAAGACAGTGCAGGATGTTCTTTTTTTGCTACAGCAAATAGTCGCTTTATCAGTTTTATTCCCTTAGTATTTTGACACTGCTTTGCTCATTCTGCTCCGGCCGTGCCGTGTCTTGATCTGTCAGTCTTTATGCTCGTATCTGAAGTGTCCATATTTGACCTGACTGAAATCACATGCGTTAGCTTAGTCTATCTTATCTTTACTTATACGCTTGACCATCGGAAGCTCACACAGTTTTTACCAAGAAGCGGCAGGATCCACACTAGGGACATGGAGTTCGGCCCGAATGTGGGCTGTGAATCCTTGCTGAATGAACTTTGACGAGCGCGAGGACCTTGGCTGATTCATTGCCACAGTTTGTCGCTGGAGTTTGGCTTGTGATTGACCCTGTGTTTTTTGGTTTCCTGCCTTGCTGTTTAGGCTGTGCCAGTGCGAGGTGTTTGGGTGTGTGTGTGTGTGTGTGCGCGTGTGTGTTTTGCCACAAAGAAGGCACTGCAGCATCCAAAACCCATCAGCCCAGGTGATGGCCGAGCACAAGTGATCGCAAGCACCAAGACAAAGAGGCTTGGATTGTCAGCAGCACCATGCTATTGAATGCACTTCTGCCATTTCTTGTCAGCGGCCATTTTCAGGCCGCCATTTCTCTGGTCCCAGGCTGGGGCAAGCTGGGCTGGGCTTGGCATTGGCTTGCAGTCGGCAAGGCCAGCCTGGCAGATTGGTGGGCCTGCTATGCCGAGAAGCTGGAAGGCCCATGCGGGCCATGCGGGCCATGCGGGCCATGCGGGCCATGCGGGCCATGTGGGCCATGTGGGCCATGTGGGCTGTGTGGGAACCAAGCATTTTCTGACAGGGGCCAACGAGGGCCCCGAAGAGGGTGAGGGCATGTGCCACGCCTGCCGGAAGCCCAACAATCGTGAAGGCATCATTGCGGCGAGCCTTCAACGAAGGATTGCTGAGGTTGCAGCTTTTTGGCATGCTTCCTCTACATCGGCCTGCTGGGCCTCATCCAAGAGTACCTCCTGCCTGGTCTCAGCAACTCGATGCAACAAGCAAACGGGCCTGTCAAGCGGCTCAAGCGCTTCAGAGGTGTTGGAGAAATTTCGAAAGGATCGATGGGCCAAGAGAATTTTGCAGATAAAACTTCCCCCTTGTGCAAGTGCAGTGGGTGTTCGAGTTTCACCGACCTGAAAACTGACATTCGCGGCCACTCCCAGGCGAAGTCTATGAGGCCGAAGGGCAAGTGACTGACTGGTGCGACTGGTTGCGCTTGAGCCAACGCCCCAGCCACCCAACAGAAGTCTTCATATTAAGCAAAGACCTTCCAGATACCATCCAACTGCAAAGTGTTGACAAAGCCTGGCGACCACCACAGTCTACAGTGCTTCCCGACATGGTGCTTGGAGGTGCCGTTGACTATAACCAGTGCTTCCTGGGGTGCTGCTGCCGTTCACGCAGATGCCTTGGCAGGCTTTCTTTGAGAACAAGCAGAACTGCATAAGCGCATGTTGGAGGGTTGGTTGGTGGAGGGGGCATTGACAGAAACGACCCCTCGCGATTGTGAGGCTCACCCACTTGTCCTTGCAGTTTGTATGATGCTCCTAGGTCTTTTGTACCTGGCACTTCCCCGGTGCACAGCCGAAGAGCGTTGTCCTGGGGAACGTCATAGGCACGAACATCATGGGCACAAGATGCAGATCTTGTCAGAACCCTATTGTTTGAAGTCTTGTGCTGGCATCATCCTTCGGGATGAAGAGAAGAAGCCTCAGCCAGCCCCCCCAGCCAAGCCAGCCAGCCAGCCACACAGTCAGTCAGTCAGTGAGTCACGTTGTCTGTTTGTTTTTTTGTCCCAGGAAGAGTCTGGGCTTGCGCGTTGTGGCCCATCCTTGTTCCCGCAGCCCTATTTGAGACCAAACCGAATTTGCAGCCGACAGCTGGCCGAAAAAATACAATCAGCCTCTGTCAAAGGATGACATGTGCTGTAGCTAGTCAGACTCACAAGGGCCGTTCTGTTGTCCTGTGATTTGCAATGCTCCGCTGCTTTGCTGTCTTGGCAGCCATCCAGCATGTGGCCGCCAACAAAACCCGTGGCTTGCACTGATAAGATGCTGGTGTTCAACTCAAGGGACCAGGCCTCTTGCCTTAGAGTGATGCTTGGATGTAAGGTGGGCCCACCTTTATTCAAGCTGTCATGCCCTCGGCGTGTCTGTTTGTGTGCAGCTTTGTGCGACATAGAAAGACTGAGAGCTGTGAGGATGTGAGTGTGGCCAGAGATTCTTGAGGTTAAAACTGGGAGCGTGACTGGGTACAGGCAGTAAGTGCTGATTTTGTCTTGACAGGCCAGAGAGGTGTCTGCAGGCAGGCAGCTGACTGCGGCCCAGAAGTCTTTGGACCGGGCCCAGGCTTGGCACAGATGTCTCCAGACCTTTTCCATGCATGTCCTAGGGGCTGGTCAAATTCAAAGGTTGTTGCGAAGAGGACGCCAAGCTGCTGCCATGGTCGCTTTTGTCGCTTTGACGATTTCTGCCTTGAGGTAGTTGACTTGGTTGACATCTCGGCCAACGACGCCCAGCGGGATCGGTTTCAAACCAGCACTACCACGACACAGGTTGCTATGATAGCAGTCACAGGTGCGGCGTGTTGAGTGGCTGGGTCTGGTCTGATACTTCTTGCGGGTGGATGGGCAAGGGGGGGACATGGGAGGAAGTCAGCGAGGGAGAGGGAGTCAGCGAGCGACCGCAGAGTTTTGTGTTTCTGAGTTCAATGCTTTGTTCACGGGAGGCCGGCGGCTCAACATCATCAACAAATGCGCACGGCCCATGATCATGCATGTCACCGGTGGTAACAGCGCCGCGTGGCAAGGAGAGAAGCCACACACAAATGAGCCATTGTCAGAAGTTCCGAGATGTCGGGGTTTGGGGATGGTCAGCATTCACTCCGAGCAGCTTCCCATGGGAAGAGTTTCGGTGCTCAGCTCGTCGCCGTCAGCGATCCGAGGAAGTGCCCTGTGGCTCGGGATGTCCGACGGGGATGACATGCAATCCCATAAGACAGCACCTGTGACGGCACCGGCTTGTCTTAGAGAGGCAGGTCTGACAATGAAGCTCAGGCTTTGCTACTTTGATATGCCTGCGCCATCAGCGACCTCAGGCCTGACCAAATCCCAGCGCATGTCGTGAGTGAAGTGATATCTTGGCAGCGGTTGGGTCTGCCTCGCCAGGCTGGACAATTCTCGCAGGCGAACAGGTGCAGATCTTCACTCCCAATGCCCCTTGGCGGAGACGCCAGGGTCCCACGCGAGCATTTGTTCGAGCAAGCAAGACAGAGACTTGAGCGCATGTCTCGGGTTGTGGCTGCACGCAGGAGCCAATCCAGCAAGGCAACGGGGTAACGGCCGATTGGAGTGGCAAGCTTGAGGCAGCTGGGCAGAAGTGGTGCTTCTTTTCCGATTGCTTTTGCTATTATTGTTTGTTTTTTAGGTCTTCTCACAATCACCATGCTTTTTTTTTTTTTTACGTCTCGCCGAGTTCTACCCAAATGTCACCATGGATGTTGGGCTGGCATCTTCCGCGCTGTGCAACGGCGCGGGCAAGTGCCCCACCTATCAGGCGGCATGATGATGCCCATAGGTGGTTCCCTTTTTGGTGTTGTTTTGGTGGAAAAATCCGATGGGTTTCGATTTTCCTGGTTTACCTTACCTGGTGGTTTAAAGAATTCTACCAGGGAAACCCATCTATTTCCCCTAAAAGGACGCCTATGGTGATGCCGTTCCCTTCTGACGGGGACTTCTTTCGAGACTTCGAGGGAGCGAATGGCACAACTGGCAGTGGGGCAACGGGTGAGATGTAGATCAAAAGGTGCTCCAGATGCCTGACCATCAGGGAGATCACGGAAAAGTTGATGTTCCCACGAAATGGGGCAAGTTACCCTGGGTCATTTTGGGGGCCCTAAATCAAATAGTGATCAACCCCCAAATGGGAAAAACAACCGGACCATTTGGACGGGCCCCGACTTGCCGTGCCCGCTTTGGAGGGCCTGAATGGAGTGGCCACCGCTGTGGAGTTCACCTTCGTGCCGCATGGCTCAGACTACTACGACGTTTCCATCATCAATGGCTTCAACATCGGTATTGAGAATCTGGGCTTGGTCTCCTTGTTCTTTGCCCCACATTTGTCTTTTGTGTTGTACTCACTGCCATTGTGTTGAATGCCTCGACTTTCAAAAAACAAAAAAACACAGAAGGAAAAACATCACTTGCCCGTTGCATTGGTATTCGCTGGGTGGCAAGTGGCCGTGTCAGAACCATGTTGCCATGAATCACCCAGGCCACCAATCAAGAAAATCGCTTCCAAAAGTGCTTGACCAACTGAGTGCTGGAAACTCCACGCATCTCGCAATGCTTCTGAGTTTCGCAAACCTTCCAACGGCCTCGCATCAGGATGAAGCCAGACCGGACCTTTCGAGCAGTGTTTGAAGGCGCGGGGAAGAGGGGGCTAAACGCCGGCCTTTGCGGACCGCTGGTGTTTGAGCTTCACGCCCTTAAAGGGAAAGACTGTGAGCCTGTTGGGTGTGGCTCAAAATGAAACATCTGGGGTTACGCCGGTTTTAGTCTTCTTTCACATTCTCCCAGGTGCCATTTTGCAGATTCCAGCTTTTGAGCCATAGCCTGAGCCAAACAATCTACTGACTCTGCCAGGTTACCCAGCGCCCTTTTTTCCTTTCGGGAAGGGTTCCCCGACAACAAAACACCTCAACCTTCCCCATGGCCACTGGGCATCGGCTGTGAATGGCCTGTTTCATGTTCGGAGGCGCATCGGGTGGCACCAGGGGCTACAACTGCGGAGCCGCAGGGGCCTCTGCCCAGCCGGACAGGCGCGTTTTTTTCTTATTCTTTTTTCTTCCTGTATTCGGGATGCCTTTTTTGGTCCGGAAAGCTCAAACGGTGGGGTTTGTTCTTGACGCTCAAACAGTGCGTTCAGGCGGACCAGCTCCTTTTTTTCCAGCTTGAAGTGACATTGCCGATTATTTGATTTGGAACATTCGCAAATGAGAGACACAAAGCTTTGACGCTCTAACAATTTTGCACATGCAAGCTGTATTTTCTCATTGCCAGCTCAATAAATGGTGGTACTAGTAGCAGACATTATGCGAACATGATGACTCGGAAGCTCCGTCTAGTGCGATGTTGTAAGCGAATCGCGCTTTCCAAGCTCTGGCTCCAACCTAAACACTTGATGAGACGCATTCATGCACAACTGGAGCGCAACCGTCCTTTCCCTAACATGTCCATTTTCTGCTGACAATTAGCTGCATCACACCACTTTACATAAAACTTATATTTGGCCCTGATGCGAATACTGCATCATGTGCCGTCACGCCTTTGTATCATCTTACGCCACGTGATGACAAGTGGCATCGTTATGTCACGTATCATGTCTTCCTCTCATGTCACGACATACGTCAAGTCACACATCATGTCATGGGTTGTGACATTGTGTCCAACAGCATGTCATACATAATGTCATAGGCCACTTCACATTCTATGTCATACGCTATGCCTCGTGGCATGTCATGCTATACCACAGTCATATCATACCGCGGGTCACTTGCTATTTGCTCCTTTCCTATTCACCAAGATTTTACTGAGAAGTTTGTGGTTTTGTTTCTTGCTGCGGCTTTTTCAATGTGAATTTACTCACAGGCAAAAAACAGGATGGACGGCGGGGCCTTCCAAAGACACAAGCAGATTCACCATTTGGGATTCAGGCATCGTGTTTTGGCGCTGCAAGCCGGATGGTGTTTTGACTGCGCGAGGCGCATTTCGCCCTGCTCATATTCCTTCCAGAAGAGTCTCCGGCATCCGGTCCACGACGCTTGGCATGCGCGAGGCTTTCGAAAACAAAGGAAGAGCCACTTACCAGGGTTCCATTTTGGTACCGTTTTTTTTTGAGCCACAGCCAAATCTCCGGCTGAGGTGGACATCAGCCCCCTCATGATCATGGTGGATGGGGGACGCGGCTCCTGTGCTGGCCATGCAGATTGCTCTGGCATCGGTATCGCCGGTCGCCCCAGCGCAAGAGTTCACAGGTCCAGTTCATGGAAGGCATGGCGGTGAGCCAATAGATGTTTGTTGTCGATGTTACTTGGCAGTGGGTCAAAGATGGGTACCCAAAAATGGAACCCTGGTGAATGGAACCCACAACTAAAACAGGCGGTCTCCTGGTGGTTTAATTTTGACCCGAACCCACTTGTCCGTCCTTTGAGTCAAACTTCCACTCAGGTCTGTGGCCAGGTGGCCAAAACCGTCTTTGATTCGGAGGCCGGAATCCATCGGCCCACGACAGAGATTAGCATGGAGATGCTTGGCTGCAGAGAAGTGGTATGTCAGCTGGCGAGAGGGGGTGGGGGAGCCATTTTTTGGCCAGCTGCAAGCCATTTGGAGTGTCCCATCTTGCGATACACGAAATCGGTCTATCAGCTCAAAGCCGCCGATTGATCCGGCGATTCGCTTTTTTGTTTTTTCAGGTGTGGTAGACCAATCGGAACCTGGTCCGTCTACCAGCTCTGTGTGTGGAGTGGCAATGCTTATCGGAGCCCTCCGCCTTACGAGGGCCTCATCGATTGTATCAGCATGCATGACATGTTTGCGTGCGCCGGGCCTCTTCCCTG